TGACAACACATACACACATATACACACACACACACTCACTCACTTACACACACCATGATCAGGGATTCCATTATGATCTAAGTTGTGTTTTGTGCACCTCCGACATTCTCACCCTTTTACATGGTGGGTGACTTGACGGACTTGATAGTAAGATGCACGGGCAATTTTGTAAGCCAGAATTTGCAACAACTAGCGTATCACATCATTTCTAAAATGAAATCAGTTGTTCAATAGCCTAGGTTTTCAAATCGACCTGAAAATAATTGGATCCGTCATCAGGGACACCTGAATCTTTGACGTGTTGCATTTTTCGAGCTTTGTTAGAGATGTTTTAGAGATGTTAGAGATGTTTATGGCATTCAATGATCTCTTCTACCACCACTCTATATGCCGTATTCGGCATTGATATTCTCCTGAACAATACATTCTTCAGACAGTGTAAAAAAACGAGAACGCCTACATAAAAAAAAACCTCTTGTTGAGGTGTAGGTATTTACAGGTTCGATACCTTTGATTAGGACTGCCCGAAACTACGCCCACGTCTCTTCGCCTCGGAAGATGTCGTTATTATAAATCCGCTAGTGCCGAGCCTCATAGCAGTGTAGTTGCGAGTTGAAACCGCATTGCGTCGTGGGTTAGGGTCGTGCATCTAACGACATCGCGTTATGGTTAGCCGTCTCAATTATGTGTTAAGAATAGTAGCTAAGGCTAAGAAGCCATAGCTAGGTTTTAGGGTATATGAAAGAGAAATAGGAGAAGAAGTGATTGAACTAGAAAGGAGAGGGATACAAGTAGCAAGCCCAAAAGGGTTATACTCACTTTTGAGTACCCCACTATAGACTAGACAAGCATTATAATCTGACATTATGCACTGTGTGTCGGCATGTCAATTTCTCCTAGAGGTGATTATTACTGCGCATGACTGGTACACAAATTAACTAAGATACAGTGTAAGTCGCTGTATAGGTTTCTTGCGCCGCATATTTTGTTATCGTGCAAGTTCAACACCGATTTTCCTTCCTTTTCCTATACCCTATCCAACGTGGATAGGCGTACACATTACATCGTTTGGGTGGAAGTATTAAAGACTTGCTGAAGTTCCGCCAAGTCTGATGCTGGTGTGAAATATACCGGTACTGTACAATTCGAACCTTACGGGTATCTTGTGTCATATTGGAGCTTTCGCTTGAAATTTCTACACCAAGTGATGAGAATCAAACAAGCTTGTCAGGCTCTAAGTCAGATGACCATCATGAAATGAAAGCATACGGTACATGATGAACAAATAAAGGAAAACCAATATTCCTAGTCATATGCTCTAGGATCATATAACGCTTTGTAACATGATGTATGATAATCAATTCAAACTATCATTCATATGCTGTAGGATTGGTAACCATCTTCAGGTCGTGTCATGCCTTCCTCCCAATCATCCATCTTTGAACCGCCTACTGTCACCTTCTTTATACCCATATGGCTGCAAGAAAAGTAAAGAAAGGGATAGGACAAAGAGGGCGCTCTTGGCAGCATATGACATGCAGTGCTGATGCCACCTTGCAGTGATAACGAAACTGGAGCGACGCCACAAGTGCGAGACAACAGGAATGGAACAAGAAGTTAAGTGCATCAATTATTCAAGGGCACGTACTCTGCACACCCAAGCACCAGCAGCAGCATTGAGGCTCGGGTGCATAGGGACACAGAATGCCCTCTGAAGCACACATTAAGTCTGCTTTTGAGTCGACTCACATGAAGCACACATTAAGTCTGCTTTTGAGTCGACTCACATGAAGCAAACATCAACTCTGCTTTTGAGTCGACTCAAATGAAGCACACATTAACTCCTTCAATTCCCTCAGCTCCTTGGCCAAGTCTCACCGTAACTTACCCAGTCAGAGTTTTTGAGGCACCTCAAAGCTCGTAAGCTTGGGATTTACCCAGTCGAAGGAGTTAAGGAGAAGATGCATTGCTTTGAGCTGGTTCGCATCCTTCTAATATTTTCCACAAGAACACAAGCAAAGGAAAGAGCGGGAGAAAAAAAAAAAAAAAACGAAGCACTCACTCGGAGCTAACAGCATTGAGGGAGTTGAGGAGAATATCAACTGCCATCATGTCTGCTGTTCCCATGTCTAGCCTGGTGAGGGGAGAAGAAGAGTGTGTGTGTTGGGTGGGGAGGGAGAGAGGGAGGTGAGGAGAAGAGAGAGAGAATGTCGACATCCACCATGTTTGCTGTGCCGATGTCGAGGTGTATTTTGAGGCGCCTCAAAATGTTGTCATTCGAGGTGTCTAGCCTCAAAATACACCTCACTACACGAGGAGAAGAGAGAGAGAATGTCGACATCCACCCTCTCTCTTCTGGTGAGAGAGAGTGTGTTTGCTGTGCCGATGTCGAGCCTGGTGAGGTGGGGAAGAGTGTATGTGGAGGAAATGGGGAGCGGATGAAGGAGAATGCTGATTTTCGACATGTTTGCTGCTCCCATGTTCTAGCCTGGGGAGTATGAGAGAGTGCGGGGGCGAGGGAAGAGTTTGAGAAAAGACATCATGTGTGCCATGCTTATGTGCCATGCTTATGTGCCATGCTTATGTGCCATGCTTATGTGCCATGCTTATGTGCCATGCTTATGTGCCATGCTTATGTGCCATGCTTATGTGCCATGCTTATGTGCCATGCTTATGTGCCATGCTTATGTGCCATGCTTATGTGCCATGCTTATGTGCCATGCTTATGTGCCATGCTTATGAGTCATGAGAGAATGTTGATTGTCATAAAACCAGATTCGGAGTATGAACAAAGATGGCATTGGTGCCACTGAATGATCAGAATTAAATCAGAACACAGGCTGCAACCCACCGTTCATGACCATAGCATTCTCTGTATCCCCATCCCAGTCTCACGGTGGCATATGGCAGGTGCTGACGGTGGTAACCCTTCGACTCATCTCCATTCCATAGCACTATCCCCATCCCAGTCGCACGGTCTCACCATATCCGTCCCAAGTTGTCTTGAAACTCAAGGTCCCCAACGTTGTGCATCAAGGCAGGCAGGTGGTGGTGGTGGTGGTGGTGGTGGTGGTGGTGTGGTGCAGGCAGGCAGGCAGGCAGGTGGTGGTGGTGGTGTACCAACGTTGTACTAGGTAGCCTAGCATTCACACACTAGGCTAGGCTCCCAGGTGTATGCACATAATAGGCTAGGCTCCCAGGTGTATGCACATAATAGGCTAGGCTCCCAGGTGTATGCACATACTAGGCTAGGCTCCCAGGTGTATGCACATAATAGGCTAGGCTCCCAGGTGTATGCACATAATAGGCTAGGCTCCCAGGTGTATGCACATACTAGGCTAGGCTCCCAGGTGTATGCACATACTAGGCTAGGCTCCCAGGTGTATGCACATACTAGGCTAGGCTCCCAGGTGTATGCACATAATAGGCTAGGCTCCCAGGTGTATGCACATAATAGGCTAGGCTCCCAGGTGTATGCACATACTAGGCTAGGCTCCCAGGTGTATGCACATAATAGGCTAGGCTCCCAGGTGTATGCACATAATAGGCTAGGCTCCCAGGTGTATGCACATAATAGGCTAGGCTCCCAGGTGTATGCACATAATAGGCTAGGCTCCCAGGTGTATGCACATAATAGGCTAGGCTCCCAGGTGTATGCACATAATAGGCTAGGCTCCCAGGTGTATGCACATAATAGGCTAGGCTCCCAGGTGTATGCACATAATAGGCTAGGCTCCCAGGTGTATGCACATACTAGGCTAGGCTCGCAGGTGTATTCACACACTAGGCTAGGCTCCCAGGTGTATGCACAAAATAGGCTAGGCTCCCAGGTGTATTCACATAATAGGCTAGGCTCCCAGGTGTATGCACATAATAGGCTAGGCTCCCAGGTGTATGCACATAATAGGCTAGGCTCCCAGGTGTATGCACATACTAGGCTAGGCTCCCAGGTGTATGCACATACTAGGCTAGGCTCCCAGGTGTATGCACATAATAGGCTAGGCTCCCAGGTGTACGCACATAATAGGCTAGGCTCCCAGGTGTATGCACATAATAGGCTAGGCTCCCAGGTGTATGCACATAATAGGCTAGGCTCCCAGGTGTATGCACATAATAGGCTAGGCTCCCAGGTGTATGCACATAATAAGCTAGGCTCCCAGGTGTATGCACATAATAGGCTAGGCTCCCAGGTGTATGCACATAATAGGCTAGGCTCCCAGGTGTATTCACACACTAGGCTAGGCTCCCAGGTGTATGCACATAATAGGCTAGGCTCGCAGGTGTATTCACACACTAGGCTAGGCTCCCAGGTGTATGCACAAAATAGGCTAGGCTCCCAGGTGTATTCACATAATAGGCTAGGCTCCCAGGTGTATGCACATAATAGGCTAGGCTCCCAGGTGTATGCACATAATAGGCTAGGCTCCCAGGTGTATGCACATACTAGGCTAGGCTCCCAGGTGTATGCACATACTAGGCTAGGCTCCCAGGTGTATGCACATAATAGGCTAGGCTCCCAGGTGTACGCACATAATAGGCTAGGCTCCCAGGTGTATGCACATAATAGGCTAGGCTCCCAGGTGTATGCACATAATAGGCTAGGCTCCCAGGTGTATGCACATAATAGGCTAGGCTCCCAGGTGTATGCACATAATAGGCTAGGCTCCCAGGTGTATGCACATAATAGGCTAGGCTCCCAGGTGTATGCACATAATAGGCTAGGCTCCCAGGTGTATGCACATAATAGGCTAGGCTCCCAGGTGTATTCACACACTAGGCTAGGCTCCCAGGTGTATGCACATAATAGGCCAGGCTCCCAGGTGTAACCACCACATCTGGTAACCAGTAACCACACTAAGAATCTCACCATATCCGTCCCAGGTTGTCTTGAAACTCGAGGTCCCCAACGTTGTGCATCAAGGCAGGCAGGGCGGACGCTGCTGTGCCCACATCGTACTTGTACTTTGAGGATTCGTCTCCCTGCATTAGCTGGGTTGGGATCAAAGAGGGGGGATGGCAGGAAAGAGGGGCATGTGGGTACATAAGAGCAGCAGGGAAAGCAGGGCGGATGCTGCCGTGCCCACATCGTACTTGTACTTGGACGACTCGTCTCCCTGCATTAGCTGGGGTGGGATCAAAGAGGGGGATGGCAGGAAAGAGGGGCATGTGGGTACATAAGAGCAGCAGGGAAAGCAGGGCGGATGCTGCCGTGCCCACATCGTACTTGTACTTGGACGACTCGTCTCCCTGCATTAGCTGGGGTGGGATCAAAGAGGGGGGATGGCAGGAAAGAGGGGCATGTGGGCACATAAGAGCAGCAGGGAAAGCAGGGCAGATGCTGCCGTGCCCACATCGTACTTGTACTTGGACGACTCGTCTCCCTGCATTAGCTGGGGTGGGATCAAAGAGGGGGGATGGCAGGAAAGAGGGGCATGTGGGTACATAAGAGCAGCAGGGAAAGCAGGGCAGATGCTGCCGTGCCCACATCGTACTTGTACTTGGACGACTCGTCTCCCTGCATTAGCTGGGGTGGGATCAAAGAGGGGGGATGGCAGGAAAGAGGGGCATGTGGGTACATAAGAGCAGCAGGGAAAGCAGGGCAGATGCTGCCGTGCCCACATCGTACTTGTACTTGGACGACTCGTCTCCCTCCATGAGCTGGGGTGGGATGAGGAGGGGGCATGGCAGGGAAAATGGAGGGATGTGGGCGCACAAGAGTAGCTGGTAGAGCAGATGCTGCCGTGCCCACATCGTACTTGTACTTGGACGACTCGTCTCCCTCCATGAGCTGGGGTGGGATGAGGAGGGGGCATGGCAGGGAAAATGGAGGGATATGGGCGCACAAGAGTAGCTGGTAGAGCAGATGCTGCCGTGCCCACATCGTACTTGTACTTGGACGACTCGTCTCCCTTCATCAGCTGGGGTGAAAACGGCAGGTGGAAGGCAGGGTGAAACGAGGGAGGTGGCAGGCAGGCGGATAAATGGGTAACACACGGCCAGCAGCAGCAGCAGCAGCAGCAGCAGGCAGGGCAGACGCTGCTGTGCCCTGCCCACAGCGCACTTGAACTTCGATGATTTGTCTCCCTCCAATTACAGGAAAGCGGATGGGGAGGGGGGAATGATGCCTGAGGGAGGCATGAATTATGACTTGGGAAAACCATAAAGGAAGACCATCTCCTCTCCTCATGACTTCCCCATCCCCATAAAGGAAAACCATTACGGCCGAGCAGGGAGGCTGTTCTCGTGGATGGCAGGCAGGCATGTGGAATCTTCTGAGTTGACTTTTGAGTCGACTCAAAAGTCTTCTGAGTTGACTCAGAAGAAGCTATTTCTCGAGTTGTACCCTCCCAGCTATATTGGTGCGATTTTTGAGAATTCTCAAGAGTCCCAGCTTGCGCCACCACGTACCAGAGCAGAGGGTGAACGACCTGCCATGCTTGGTGCCTCCCTCTTGCAGAGTAAAGAAGGATGACTTTTGAGTCGACTCAAAAGTCACCTCTTTTGAGTCGGCTCAAAAGTCACGTCGACTCAAAAGTCAGAGCAGAGGATGAACGACCTAACATGCTTGGTGCCTCCCTCTTGCAGAGTAAAGAAGGATGACTTTTGAGTCGACTCAAAAGTCACCTCTTTTGAGTTGGCTCAAAAGTCACGTCGACTCAAAAGTCAGAGCAGAGGGTGAACGACCTGCCATGCTTGGTGCCTCCCTCTTGCAGATTAAAGAAGGATTCGAACCGCAGCAACCAGGTGCGGTGCCATGCATTTTCTGGTGCGGATACAACACACACAAGGGCCCCTAGCCTCCTCCTACCTGCAGGTTGGCGGAGTTGTAGCCTCCCAGCTTGCACCACCACGTACCAGAGCAGAGGGTGACCTGCCCCTAGCCTCCTACCTCCCAGCTTGCCCACCTTGTACCAGAGCAGAGGGTGACCTGCCCCTAGCCTCCTACCTCCCAGCTTGCCCAGTGCCCACCACATGCCACTCGGCAGGCCGCAGGGAGGAAACAGGAGAGCCCAGCCCACCCACCTAGACCGAAGAGGCGTACCTGCAGGTTGGCGGAGTTGTAGCCTCCCAGCTTGCCCACCACGAACCATGCTCTGATGACCTCGTATCCTGCCAGGCTCCTGTTCAAGGTTTCCCAGAGTGGTATAGAGTGGTAACTGCAGGTTGGCGGAGTCGTACCCTCCTAGCTTGCCCACCGCGTACCATGCTCGGATGACCTGGGTCCTGCCAGGCTCCTGTTCAAAATTCCCCAGAGTGGTATAGAATGGTACCTGTAGGTTGGCGGAGTTGTAGCCTCCCAGCTTGCCCACCACGTACCATGCTCTGATGACCTGCCATGGTGGGATGGGGATGTGGATGGGGAAGGAAGAGTGAAGGGACGGGGGAGACGGGAAGGGGTTGTTGTGAGAGAAACAGAGTGAGACAGATGAACAACGGAACAAGACGGCCAAGAGTGGAACGAGAGACGGTTTTTAAGGCGCCTAAAATCTTGAGAGAAACAGAGTGAGACAGATGAACCAAGGAACAAGACGGCGAGGAGTGGAACGAGAGAAAGATCATGTAAAGTAAAATTCCTTCCTGAAAACAGGTCCACTCACACTGCCGAGTGTATTCATATCGTCTTCTGAAGGTGTCTTGTGAAGCTCGAACCAGATATACATGTCAAATGGGTCGATCCTATAACGAGTATAGGGATAACAAGAAGGATAAGAAAGATAAGATCAATATGTGAAGCTCGATCGAACCAGATGTACATGTCAAACGGACCGATCCTATAACGAGGATATGGGATATGGGGGGTGAGAGAGGGGGGGGGGACGCAAGTGCATAGAGAAAGGGGATAAGCAAGAGCAGTTGTAACCAGATGTACATGTCAAATGGGTCGATCCTATAACGAGGATAGGGGAGGAGCAGAGGCAAGTAGGTAAAGCAAAAAGTGATAAACAAGAATATTATGCTTATGCGCAGTCAAACCAGATGCGCACGTGGTATGGTAAAGACGTGTAGTACAAAACTGATGTTTACAATGTTCTAATACACTAATTCATCACTGCACTGCACATACTCCTTTATGGCAACCTGCGTTGTTGCCCCGGTGTAAACTTTCTAGCATACACCAGAAACTGTAACGTAAGCACTGTACACTATTTACTGTACATACTCTTTAATGGCCACCTGCATGGTGGCCCCACTGCCTCGCTTCTCCGCCAGCAGCTCTGCCTGCTTTGAGCGGATCCGCTCCTCCATCTGACAGCAGGGGGGGAGTGGAAAGGTTGGGGAGGGGAAACGGTGGGGGGAGGAAAGGGTGGGGGGGGGGGGCATGTAAGGACAGCAGCTCCGCCTGCTTTGATCGAATTCGCTCCTCCATCTGACAGGCAGGGGGGAAGAGATGGTGCAGGGTTACGATGGGTTCAAGGGTTCAGGGTTTAGGGTTTAGGGTCAGCATTCAGGCTTCTGAGGTTTGGTTTGATAAGTCGAGTTTTGAGTCGACTCAAAAGCAGACTCATTACACGCGATCACACACGACTTAAGACGGGTTCAATCAAGGGTTAAGGGTCAGCGTTCAGGCGTCTGAGGTTTGGAGATCTTCAGACATGTTGTTTAAGGGCGGATTCGATCGCAGCAAGCCAACTGAGGTCTCTCGTGTCTAGATCTAAATGGATCTAACCAGATTCAACTAGGAGAGAAGAAAGCGAGTAGAAGAAAGACTTAGTAAGTCAATCGGTAAGACAAAACATCGCCTGGGATGTGCGTATGCGTACGCCTTCATCAGCGCAGTGCTAGGGTTAAGGGTCAGCGTTCAGGCTTGTGAGGTTTGGAGATCTTCAGACATTTTCCAGTGAGCAGCAGCGCTTAGGTTCAGGCTTGAGCAAGAGTAGGGAAAAAGACAGTGTAATTGTTCTGCAATTGCTGTGCGTGGGTTACACAACAGCAGCACAACAGCAGCACAACAGCAGCACAACAGCAGCACAACAGCAGCACAACAGCAGCACAACAGCAGCACAACAGCAGCACAGCAGCAGCACAACAGCAGCACAACAGCAGCACAACAGCAGCACAACAGCAGCACAGCAGCAGCACAGCAGCAGCACAGCAGCAGCACAACAGCAGCACAACAGCAGCACAACAGCAGCACAACAGCAGCACAGCAGCAGCACAGCAGCAGCACAACAGCAGCACAACAGCAGCACAACAGCAGCACAACAGCAGCACAACAGCAGCACAACAGCAGCACAACAGCAGCACAACAGCAGCACAACAGCAGCACAACAGCAGCACAGCAGCAGCACAGCAGCAGCACAACAGCAGCACAACAGCAGCACAACAGCAGCACAACAGCAGCACAACAGCAGCACAACAGCAGCACAACAGCAGCACAACAGCAGCACAACAGCACAACAGCAGCACAACAGCAGCACAACAGCAGCACAACAGCAGCACAACAGCAGCACAACAGCAGCACAACAGCAGCACAACAGCAGCACAGCAGCACAACAGCAGCACAACAGCAGCACAACAGCAGCACAACAGCACAACAGCAGCACAACAGCAGCACAACAGCAGCACAACAGCAGCACAACAGCAGCACAACAGCAGCACAACAGCAGCACAACAGCAGCACAACAGCAGCACAACAGCAGCACAACAGCAGCACAACAGCAGCACAACAACAGCACAACAACAGCACAACAGCAGCACAGCAGCAGCACAACAGCAGCACAACAGCAGCACAGCAGCAGCACAACAGCAGCACAACAGCAGCACAACAGCAGCACAACAGCAGCACAACAGCAGCACAACAGCAGCACAACAGCAGCACAACAGCAGCACAACAGCAGCACAACAGCAGCACAACAGCAGCACAACAACAGCACAACAGCAGCACAACAGCAGCACAACAGCAGCACAACAGCAGCACAACAGCAGCACAACAGCAGCACAACAGCAGCACAACAGCAGCACAACAGCAGCACAACAGCAGCACAACAGCAGCACAACAGCAGCACAACAGCAGCACAACAGCAGCACAACAACAGCACAGCAGCAGCACAACAGCAGCACAGCAGCAGCACAGCAGCAGCACAACAACAGCACAACAGCAGCACAACAGCAGCACAGCAGCAGCACAACAGCAGCACAGCAGCAGCACAACAGCAGCACAACAGCAGCACAACAGCAGCACAGCAGCAGCACAACAGCAGCACAACAGCAGCACAACAGCAGCACAGCAGCAGCACAACAGCAGCACAACAGCAGCACAACAGCAGCACAGCAGCAGCACAGCAGCAGCAGCACAGCAGCAGCACAGCAGCAGCACAGCAACAGCACAGCAGCAGCACAGCAGCAGCACAGCAGCAGCACAGCAGCAGCACAACAGCAGCACAGCAGCAGCACAGCAGCAGGGTTCGGGTCAGCGTTCAGGCTTCTGAGGTTTGGGATCCAGCACGGCATCTCCAAGCCTCCTTGTAAGATTCAGCTGCAAATTCACACCCCATTCCACCCCACCGAACCCCACCCCACCTCATCCCCCCCACCCCATCCTCATCCCTATCTCCACCGCACTCCACCTCATCCCACCGCACCTCACCTTCTCCTGCATCTGCTGCGGGTCCAGCATGGCATCTCCAAACAGCTCCATCAGCTCGGGGTCCTGTGCAGCTACTTGGCTGTCAAAGCACAAAGGGGGGAACAGGGGAGTGGAGTGGAGTGGAGTGCGGTGTGGGTAGGTGGGTGTTAAGAGCTGATGGTGCAACCAGCAGAGCACGCCCAAACAGCTCCATCAGCTCCGGGTCCTGCGCTACCCTGCCACTTGGCTGCAAACGAACAAAAAGGGAGTGCAGTGCGGTGTGAGTGAGTAAGTGGGGGTTAAGCGCAGAGCAGATGGTCCAACCAGCAGCATGGCATCTCCATCAGCTTGGGGTCCTGCGCTGCGCTGCCACTTGGCTGAGAGGGGGGGGAGGACGGGGGTTTAGGGGGGTTGGGGGTGGTTGGTGTAACCAGCATGGCATGGCATCTCCAAACAGCTCCATCAGCTCGGGTCCTGCGCTGCGCTGCCACTTGGCTGAGAGGGGGTTGAGTGGAGGTGGGAGGACAGAAGAGTATCCAGCACGGTATTTCTGAGAATTCTCAAAACTACCCTGCATCACCTTGTTTGAGGCGCCTCAAAACTGGAATTCTCAAAACTACCCTGCATCACCTCGTTTGAGGCGCCTCAAAACTGGAATTCTCAAAACTACCCTGCATCACCTTGTTTGAGGCGCCTCAAAACTAGAATTCTCAAAACTACCCTGCATCACCGTGAAGGAAGAGTATCTGTGTTTTGAAGAAGGACGGGAGAGGTGAGGTTGGTGCGGGAAAAGGGAGGGGTGAGGTTGGTGCGGGAAAAGGGAGGGGTGAGGTTGGTGTGGGAAAAGGGAGAGGTGAGGTTGGTGCGGGAAAAGGGAGAGGTGAGGTTGGTGCGGGAAAAGGGAGGGGTGAGGTTGGTGCGGGAAAAGGGAGAGGTGAGGTTGGTGCGGGAAAAGGGAGAGGTGAGGTTGGTGCGGGAAAAGGGAGAGGTGAGGTTGGTGCGGGAAAAGGGAGAGGTGAGGTTGGTGCGGGAAAAGAGCCGCGGAAGGGGAGAGGGAAGAGGTGGGAAAAAAAAGGATGTTGTCTGTCCCCCCTTAAAACCCAAACCCAAACCCAACCCCCTCTTTCCATCAAGCCTCTCTCCTCCCCATCTCTCCGACCCCCCTCCCCGTTCCACCCCCTCTCCCTCCCTCACCCTCTTCCACCTCCCCCCCTCACGTCGCCCACTGCTGAAACTCCTCCGCCGATTCCCCCTGCTACACTCTGGTCTTCCCCATAACAACCATCCCCCACTCTTTCTCCCCCTCCCCCCTCCCCACTTCCCTTCCCCTCGTTCCCCCCCTCACCTCGCCCATTGTTGAAACTGCGGAGATTTCTATTTTTTGGGATCCTCCTCCGAGGACTCCTTCCGCTAATAGCGCGCCTCCTGGTCTTCCCCACAAGACTCACCTCCCTCCCTCCGCCCCCCTCCTCCTAACTCCCCCCCTTACCCCTCCCTTTCCCTTCCCCCTCCCCCCTCACCTCGCCCACTGCTGAAACTCCTCCTCCGCGGACTCCTTCCGCTGCTCACGCGCCTCCCGCGACTTCTCCAGCCGCCGCTGCCGCGCTGCGCTCATCCCCTCCACGCCACCAACCTCGATCCGCCTCCGCCCGCCGTCGCCGCCGCCCATCCCCGCGCTTCTCTCTCCGCCCATTCCCCCGCTTTCCCCTCCCCTCAAAATCCCACCGCCAATGGCCTCCATCCCCCCCTGCCATTCCCTTCTGCTAGTAGGGTTACCACCGCTGCTGCCACCCGAACTTTGATTCGATCCTGGATCCGAACTTGGATTCGATCCTTGATCCGAACTTCGAGGCGAACCTGAGTTCAAACTTTCTGGCGAACCTAGATCCGAACTTTGAGGCGATCCTGTATCCGGACCGCCACCAAGCCTCGTTCGCCTTCTTTGCCGCCCACGGCTGGGCGACTCTGCCGCGTCCTGCGGCGACGTGCTTCCTTCTCGCCCGTCCGCCGCCGCCGCGGCGGCGGTGATGATTAATCGAGCGCGTCGCGAGTGCGCCTCGGAACGCGGCGCAAGAGAAGACGGCGGAAGCGCAGATGGCGGAAGCGCAGATGGCGGAAGTGAAGTCTGCAGGGGGGATCTTGCGGAATATGCGGTAGCAGCACCGCGACGAGCGCTAAAGGCGGCGTGGAACGCGGCCGTCGGCGAGGCGCCTCGTGCGAGTACGGACATTGCCATTACGTACACCCAACACGCCTACCTACGCGCCGCACCTTTTATGCGTCAAATTTCGAAGGGCAAATAATGAAATTCTCGTAACCGCTACAGTCCGCTAGCTGCCCTCGTAGCACGCCGATGTCCAGAGGTTAGAGACTCAGGGTACAGGAATCGGGGTTTAGGCATCGGTGTGCAGTAAATTGTGTGTTTTTCAGTTTACCTCGTTTGCAGATCAGTTGTTTTAGCTCCTTGCTACAGTTGTACAGACTTGACTTGACTGCATTCAATATAAACAGATGAACTGATTTGTGAGAAGAGACTTGCAAATATATTTCATCAGATTTTTCCCTGCTACACTCAGGGCATATACAGGTGACACTGATGTGGTGCTGGCAAAGGGTAAGAACATATGCTATAATGGATTACACTTCTGTCTTTTATTGTATGCAATAGCATTGATTGAAGAACGGGCAAAAACATTTGCATTTATCGTTGAGGCTTGTCTTGTAACACTCCAATAATGGTAGCATGGGAGGTGGTGGCGGGGAGGGTGGCGGACGCGGGGGAGGGGATGGAGGGGGGGAACGGGGAGGCGATGGGGGGGGACGCGGAGGGGGAGAGGGGGGAGGGAAAGGGGGAGGGGAGGGAGGGGGACGAGGCGGGGGGCGTGGGGGAGGGGAAGGGGGAGGAGAGGGAGGGGGACGAGGGGGGGGGCGTGGGGGAGGGGAAGGAGGGGATGGAGGGGGAGATGGGGGAGGGCGAGGGGGAGGTGAGGGAGGGGGGAAGGGAGGAGGGGAGGGGGGAGGCGAGGGTGGCATTGGTGGGGGAGAAGGGGGAGGAGAGGGAGGAGGGGGGGAAGGAGGGGGGGATGGGGGAGGGGACGGTGGCGGAGGGGATGGGGGCGGTGATGGGGGTGGGGAAGGTGGAGGAGGGGAAGGGGGAGGAGGAGGGGGTGAGGGAGGTGTGCTTGGTGGGGGAGAAGGAGGGGGAGAAGGAGGACGAGGAGGAGGAGGAGGGGATGGAGGGCGAGGAGGGCGTGGGGGAGGGGAAGGGGGAGGGGAGGGAGGGGGGCGGGGAGGGGGGCGTGGGGGAGGGGAAGGGGGAGGGGAGGGCGGAGGGCGGGGAGGGGGGCGTGGGGGAGGGGAAGGGGGAGGGGGGGGAGGCGGGGAAGGGGGGGGTTTGGGTGGGGGAGAAGGGGGAGGGAAAGGGGGAGGGGAGGGAGGGGGACGAGGCGGGGGGCGAGGGGGAGGCGAAGGGGGAGGGGAGGGAGGAGGGCGGGGAGGGGGGCGTGGGGGAGGGGAAGGGGGGGGAGAGGGAGGAGGGCGGGGAGGGGGGCGTGGGGGAGGGGAAGGGGGAGGGGGGGGAGGCGGGGAAGGGGGGGGTTTGGGTGGGGGAGAAGGGGGAGGGAAAGGGGGAGGGGAGGGAGGGGGACGAGGCGGGGGGCGAGGGGGAGGCGAAGGGGGAGGGGAGGGAGGAGGGCGGGGAGGGGGGCGTGGGGGAGGGGAAGGGGGAGGAGGGGGAGGCGGGGAAGGGGGGGGTTTGGGTGGGGGAGAAGGGGGAGGGAAAGGGGGAGGGGAGGGAGGGGGACGAGGTGGGGGGCGAGGGGGAGGCGAAGGTGGAGGGGAGGGAGGAGGGCGGGGAGGGGGCCGTGGAGGAGGGGAAGGGGGAGGGAAGGGAGGCGGGGAAGGGGGAGGTTTGGGTGGGGGGGAAGGGGGAGGTTTGGGGGGAGGGGATGGGGGAGAAGGGGGAGGTTTGGGTGGGGGAGAAGGGGGAGATGGGGGAGGCCTGGGGGGAGGGGATGGGGGAGAAGGGGGGGGGTTGGGTGGGGGAGAAGGGGGGAATGGGGGAGGCTTGGGCGGGGGAGAAGGGGGGGATGGGGGAGGGTTTGGGGGGGATGGAGGAGGAAGAGGTGGGGGTCTAGGTGGGGGGGATGGAGGAGGAGGGGGAGGGTTGGGAGGTGGGGAAGGAGGTGGGGATGGGGGAGGGAAAGGGGGAGGTGGGGAAGGTGGGGGGAATGGAGGGGGAGAGGGGGATGGGGGTGACGGTGGGGGGAAGGGAGGTGGGGGTGGAGGTGACGGTTGGGGGGGAAGTGGGGGAGGATGTGGAGGAGAGGGGGGAGGAGCTGCGGGAGAGAGGGGCAAGGGGAGGAAGGGAGGGACACAGAAGGGGAGGAAAGAATCAAGAACGTGACTGCAATGAGGGTGATTATAAGAGGGGCTTCTAGGTATTGAGGGAAACTATTGATGCACTTGACAACACTGAATGATTGCCGTGGGACACATGGCAGACAATAAGAGGAATAGAGGGAAGATGAGGATAGAGGGCGGATACGGGGGAGGGGGAGGGGGAAAGAGGGGGAGGAGGGCGGGGAGATGGGGGAGAAGGAGGAGGGGGGGTTGCATCTAAAGGTGCAAGGGAGAAGAGGAACAGAGGAAGGAGGAGGAAGGGACAACAGAAAGAGAAGGAAGAGGGAGGTAATGAGAGGTGAAGAGAGGTGGAGAGTGGTGGAGAGAGGTGGAGAGAGGTGGAGAACGGGGAGGCTTACGAGGAGGCAGGCAGGCAGTGCCATTAGCTGCAAGAGACAACCCTGGCCAGGTGCAATGCAGTTACACTGTATGGTCCCGTTTGTGATGTCTCAAGAAGAGAAGTGTGGAGAGGTGGAGAGTGGTGGAGAGAGATGTAGAGAGGTGGAGAGAGGCTTACGAGGAGGCAGGCAGGCAGTCTTGTTAGCCGCAAGGGTCGACCCCAGCCACGTGCAGTTACACTGTATGGTAACCGCACCCGTGGTAACCGCAACGGCGCTAACCACACACACCCCGATCCCATAAGTGCACTGCGCGTTACTCCCCGGAGTGGTAACCAGCCCGAAACTCGTCGAGCAAAACGCTGTGCAGTCTGCTGCGGTGCGCTGGGCCTCGGTTACGGTAACAGGGTTACCGCCTGTGCTGGTGGCGCTGGTACAGGTGTCGGACTCGTATTGGAGGCAGTTGTTGGCGGTTTGGACGGAGGAGGTGGCGTTCGGGCAGATGGAATTTCCGGCGAGGTCGAGAATGTTGCCCGAGCCAAAAAAATAGTTGGTGTGGATGCTGTAGTGCAGGATGAGGGGGGCTGAGCTCATGGAAGGAACTGGCCCGGTGAAATAGTTGGCAGAGAGATCTCTGCGGTGCAAAGAGGTGGGACAGGGTGGGTTGGGGTGGGTGGGGGTGGAGTGGGGTGGGTGGGGGGGGGGGAGGGAGGGGGGGAGTGTTAAGAGGGAGACATTGAAGAAATAGTTGGTGTGGATGTTGTAGTGTTGGATGAGAGGGGGTGAGCTCATGGGGGGACTGGTCCAGTGAGAAGTTGGAGGAGAGATCACTGCGGTGTGAGGGGGTGGGGTGGGGTGGAAGGAGGGGTAAGAGGGAGGGATTGAAAACATAGATGCTGTAGAGTTGGATGAGAGGCGCTGAGCTCATGGGGGGGACTGGCCCGGTCAAATAGTTGGAGGAGAGATCACTGCGGAGAAAATAGGTGAAGGGAGGTGGGCCAGGGTGGGTTGGGGTGGGTGGGGGTGGGATAGGGTGGGGTGGGGTGGAGTGGAGTGGGAGGGTGGGGGGTTAGGAGGTGTGGATGGTGTGTAGGTAGGGGCACAGGAGGGGCTGAGCTCATGGGGAGGACTGGGCCGGTGAAATGGTTGGAGTAGTGATCACTGCGGTGGGAGGGGGTGGGATGGAACGAGGTGAGGTAGGATAGGGTGGGGTGGGGTGGGGTGGGGGGTAACAGGGAGGCATTGGAGAAATAGTTGGTGTGGATGCTGTAGTGTTGGATGAGAGGGGGTGAGCTCATGGGGAGGGACTGGCCGGGCGAAGTAGTTGGAGGAGAGATCACTGCGGTTGGAGGGGGTGGGATGGGGTGGGGTGGGGTGGGGTGGGGTGGGGTGAGGTGGAATGGGGTGAGGTCAAGTGGGATGGGGTGGGGTGGTCAATGCAGCATAGGATGCAGCACAGTGCGCTTACAGTGTCTGCAGTGACGTCAGCGAGCTGATAATGGGAGCCACCATGCCACTCAGATAGTTGTTGCTGACGTCACTGGGCATGTGTGTGGGTGGAAAGTGGGGGAGAGACGGGGAAGGGGGGAAAGGGAGGGGAGGTGGGTGGGGAATGAAAAGGGGGGAAGATGAGTGAGGGGCAGAGAAGACTCTTCAGAAAATGAAAGGAAAGCAACCAGGTAAATCACTCGATAAGAGTTTGTTACATATCAAGGTTACAAATTGGTTACGACCTTTTGGGTGTCTTGAAAGCTTACTTACAGTTTGTAGAGCGACTGGCTGGCAGGTGAGCAGGTTGGAGGGCAGCGGGCGTAAGGAGTTGTGACATAGATGCTTGGTGAAGTGGGGGGATGGATTCTGAGGTGCCTCAGAAGTCGTCTTGGTTCACATGCTTACAGTTCGTAAAGCGATTGGCAGGTGGCCAGATTGGAGGGAAGCGGTCCTAGGAAGGAATTGTGGGATAGATGCCTGGATAGCGGGAGGGGGGGGTGGGGGGAGGTGGAGGTGGAAGGGAAGGGGGAGGGGGAGGGGAAGGGGTGAGAGTGGCCAGATTGGAAGGAAGCGGTCCTAGGAAGGAGTTGTGGGATAGATGCCTGGATAGGGGGAGGGGGGAGTAAGGGGAGGGAGAGGAAGGGACATGTGTCATATGCCATTCTAGTAAAGGTGGCTTGAGAGAGCATTTTGAGGCGCCTCAAAATGCACCTCACTACAGGAGGAGTAAGGGGAGGGAGAGGGACGGAAATGTGCCATGTGCCATTCTAATTAAGGTGGCTTGAGAGAGCAGCAGGCAGTCATAGTGAAGGGGCCAAACTGGACGGGCAGTTTTTTTCCGGATTCTTAAGAAACATCCCAATGAGATAAAGTAAGAATCGAAGAATATCCCAATGGCCGGCCAAGTGCCCAGCCCAGCTTAGGCGGCCCATGCCCATACGCTACCCTTGCCGACTTTTGAGACGTCTCAAAATTCAACAAAGTGCCCAGCCCAGGCCCATGGACTCCGGTCATACATATGACCGACCAAGTGCCAGCCCAGGCCCAGGCCCATACGCTACCCTTGCCCATGCGCTACCCTTGCCCATGCGCTACCCTTGCCCATGCGCTACCCTTGCCCATGCGCTACCCTTGCCCATACGCTACCCTTGCCCATACGCTACCCTTGCCCATGCTCTACCCTTGCCCATGCGCTACCCTTGCCCATGCGCTACCCTTGCCCATGCGCTACCCTTGCCCATGCGCTACCCTTGCCCATGCGCTACCCTTGCCCATGCGCTACCCTTGCCCATGCGCTACCCTTGCCCATACGCTACCCTTGCCCATGCGCTACCCTTGCCCATGCGCTACCCTTGCCCATGCGCTACCCTTGCCCATACGCTACCCTTGCCCATGCGCTACCCTTTCCCATGCGCTACCCTTGCCCATACGCTACCCTTGCCCATGCGCTACCCTTGCCCATACGCTACCCTTGCCCATGCGCTACCCTTGCCCATGCGCTACCCTTGCCCATACGCTACCCTTGCCCATACGCTACCCTTGCCCATGCGCTACCCTTGCCCATGCGCTACCCTTGCCCATGCGCTACCCTTGCCCATGCGCTACCCTTGCCCATACCCCACCCTTGCCCACGACAGCAGCCACAACTCCGGAAAGGCAGCCTAGAAAGGTCTTTGAGTCAACTTAATAAAGAGGAAGGCTCATACAGGAATCCCAGAAACTGCATGCTGCTGGTGAAGATGGGAGGCAGAGTGCCGTTGAGCTTGTTGTACGAGAGGTCCCTGCGAGGGAAGAGAGCGGAGAGGGTGGGGAGAAAGGGGAGATACGCAAGGGCAAAGAGCAGCTTCAGAGTCGAGCAAAGAGATCAAGACGAGCTGCTGCTGGTGAAGATGGGAGGGAGAGAGCTGTTGAGCCTGTAATAAGAGAGGTGCCTGCAAGGGGAGAGAGGGAGAGGGTGGGAAAAGCGGAGAGCTTCAGAGGATTTGCGGGTGAAGATGGGAGGGAGAGAGCCGTTGAGCTTGTTGTACGGGACGTCCCTGTGAGAGGAGAGGGGAATGAGGAGTGAGCGGGGAGAGGGTAGAAACATGGAAGAAGGTGGGGGGGGTAGTGGAAAGACAGAAACTACATGCTGCTGGTGAAGATGGGAGGCAGAGTGGCGTTGAGGCGGGAGACAGAAACCACCCTTCAACTAATACAAGGACCATTCGAGAGAGAGAGAGAGAGAGAGAGAGAGAGAGAGAGAGAGAGAGAGAGAGAGAGAGAGAGAGAGAGAGAGAGAGAGAGAGAGAGGATTAGCCTCTCCCCTTCTGCCTTTGCACTCACCCTTCTGCCCTCTCCCATGAGTACTTAAAGGCTCTCGTGGCTTCTTCATCCTTAGTATTCAGTTCATTCTGAAAAAATTTCGCTCGATCGTTCGAGAGAGCGAGAGAGAGAGAGAGAGAGAGGATTAGCCTCTCCCCTTCTGCCTTTGCACTCACCCTTCTGCCCTCTCCCATGAGTACTTAAAGGCTCTCGTGGCTTCTTCATCCTTAGTATTCAGTTCATTCTGAAAAAATTTCGCGCTTCGCGCCGGCGCTCGCGTGCGCGGCCTTCGGCCGCGCGCTCGGGATGACAAGGGGGAACAACAAGCAGTAGTTTAGGCATCAGACACAAGCAAGGCAAGCATCGACACCTAGCAACACGATAATGGAACGGGTCTACACGCGCAAGGGGGGAGCACCTACATGCGGTCCGCGTCTACCGCAGCGAGCATTCCGCTCGTGTTCAACCACAACTGGCGGACCACTAACACGGTGGCGCCTACAACGTCAACGGGAGTACCAGGACCTGCTACAAGCGTCCTCAGAGCCAGGGCCGAGTCAGCCAGCTGGCTGGCCGAGGCTGCTCCCGGCGAGGGCTCTACCTGCAGTGGCGTTACGAGCGCGAATAGCGCTGACGCCGCCGCATGACAATCAGCTCGCGGTTTCTGAGAGAACCTGCTCGGAGGGCTCACCGGCATGGAGTCATATGACTCCTGGAGAATCCGCTCAAGGCTCTGCAGGGACACCGCCAGCGACCATAGGCGGGCCAGGGTCGCCGTGGGAATTCTCTTCATCGGCGGAAGCAACGCGGACGAGCGGGCACGGTGAGACGACACGGCGAGATCACGCGGAGCAGGAAGAGGACGCGGCGGTTCATACTGAGCCCACGGCAGCCCGCCACCAGCGCCTACGAAGCCCATTCCTGCAGGCAGCGGCCGATCTGAGCGCGCCGGGGATCCGAATGGATTGTGAGGCAGGAGCGCGGAGAGAGGGACGACGGGAGCAGCGCGAGGAGCTAGGGGTGACGCCGACCCCGCACGTGAGCGACGAAGCTCCTTCTCCACGTCATCAAGCCTATCCAGAAGACGGCGCTCCATTGCGGACGGCGCTGGACGCGCTTTTCCCCCGCGACCATAACCTCCCCGCCGCCCGCGACGCCCCCGACCACTTGCGTCCGAACGCACAGGCGACTGCTGGCGAGACGAGCCCAGCTGACGCTGGCGTTCAGGGGAACGGACCACGCGACGAGGAGAGTCGAGCCGTGGACGCTTCGAGGGACGTGGCGAACGCGGAGGCGATCGAGGACGGGACGACTGGCGTACGGGCGAACGGTGACGAGAATGAGGGCGAGCGGGCGAACGGTGGCGGTGTGACCTGCGATCACGCGAACGACTCCGTGACGCCACGCGACGAGGCGAACGCGGCGACCGCGGGCCAGCGTGAAGACCTTCCCTGCGGCTCTCCCGCCTATCGCCGCGAATCACAGATGAACGTCGGCGAGGGGAATGCTCCTGGTGCGCCACACCCACTCCGCCGTAGCGCTCGGCGGACGCCGCGTGAGCAGGCTCCGGCTGAGGCAGGGACCGGCCCCCGCGCGAGGTCAGAGCGCGCTGCTGATCTTCGAAACGACGGCGGATCCGATCCGCAGACGCCGGCGGCGCGACAGGCACGCTCGCGGCAGGGCGCGCAGGAGGAAGCGGGCGGGGAGCTGGATCGCTCTCCGCGGTTCGCCCCAAGGCAGGAGCTTCAAGGGAACTCATCGGTACGTCGGGAAGAGGGCGCGCGGACACTCAGCGGCCGACAAGTCGGCGGAAGAACAGCAGGCCGCGGAAGGAGAGCTGCGGGACGCGGGGGGAGAGCACGTGGGGGTGGACCGGAAAACGTGTACCAGCACGCGGGGAGGCGGGCTTTAAACGAGATGAGCGGTGATAATGAAACCTCCACTTCAGACAGTAGCTTTGTAGCAGCCGAGTCCACTGACTCGACTTCCGGCTCTGAGTCCTTGGACGACGAGCAGCTTCAGACTCCTGCTCGAGCGGGCAGAGCAGCAGCAGCAGCAGCATCTCACATGGCGGGGGGAGCTGCAGCAGTGAGATCCATTAGGAGGGGTCCCCCAACACCAACCCGAGCCGCATCAGGCAACATTGTAACTGCACCAATCCCAACCACGAATTCCCACATTCAGACCCCTAGCCAGGCCGGACATCAATCTGCACCTGGCGGTAACCCCGTCCCAACCCAAGCCCCAGAGGAGAAATCCCCAGAATCACTCGCCAAGGACGACACGCTATTCGCCAGCGTGTCAAACTGGGATCTGACGAAATTGCGTGACTCTCGCCACGCACCTCTTTCCCGTCACCTCCCACCAGACCCACGCAAACTTTTCGCCACAGCTCTGTTGGTTCCGCTGCTGCGCTTGGCGAAATATCCAGACTCACCTTCTGCATGGACGGTCGTCCTGTTTCTCGCTCGATTAACACTTCGCCAGCTGTCACCTAGGCGCCCAGACTGGAAGGCTGTCAGTGCCCGCCTTCGTCAGTTTCTGTCTGGAGAATGGGACAAATTATACACTGAAACAGTGGGTTCACTGTCGTGGCCCCAACCACCCAGACACCAGCCCGATGACATTGGTGTCATCGCTAGGGCAGAGGGGTTGGCACGACGTGGCAGCCTACGACGCGCCGTGATGGCACTTGAAGCCACGCCAGTCAGCACCCCCTCTCCAACTGTGCTGGAGGCCCTGCGCGCCAAGCACCCGCCTGCGCCCGCCTCCCCACCTGACTGGAATTTTCCAGAACCTGACCCTCACCTATCGGCACCGTTTGCTATCTTCTCCAAGGTGCTGGGAAGCTGCGAGATGGGGGTGGGAGCGGGCCCCTCAGGAACAACTTTCGAACACTTACGCGATGCAGCGCTGATCAACCACTCCGTTGGGGAAACACCTGCACGCGCTAGTCAACACGATATTAACAGGAAAATTACCTCCTGCGGTGGCTGAGCTCCTCACCGCCTCAAGATTGATTGCCCTGAGCAAGCCCGATGGGGGGACGCGACCAATTGCCATCGGCGAGAGCATAACACGCCTGGCAGCTAAGACGGCGCTTACTTTGACTGCAGGGGCCGCTCGTGTATTCTTCCTACCGCACCAGTTCGGCGTGGCAGTCCCTGGCGGGGCGGAGGCGATTATCCACATCACACGCACGTACCTCACGGTGAACACAGGAGCTTTGGTCCTACAGGCTGATCTGGCGAACGCATTTAACAGCGTTAACCGCGACGCCATCATCACATCTCTTCGGGACTCCTCTCTCGCTTCACTTTTACCGTTAGTTAAACTGCTGTACGGCCTTCCTTCGGCTCTATGTCTGGACGCTGGCTTCTCACACCCACCTCTGCTGAGCGAGACCGGGGTGCGGCAGGGAGATCCCCTCGGCCCGTTGCTGTTCGCTGCCGCCATACACCCAGCGCTGACGAAAACGGCGCTCAGCTTCCCCTCCGTGGTCTGTCTAGCCTATGCGGACGACGTAACTTTTCTTGGGGATGCAGCCATGTGCGCGGCGGCATTTGAGGACTTCACAGGAAACCTCGGGGAGATCGGGCTGCGCCACAACCCAGCCAAGTGCGCGGCCTGGTCTCAGGCTGGCCAGCAGGGAGCAGCGCTTCCAGTGGGCGTACCTTTCACAGAAGATGGGGTGAAGGTGCTTGGCAGCTTCATCGGTGGCAGCGACGCAACCGCCGCGTTCCTACGTGCCAGCCTCGACACCATGGGAGTGCCGCTGCCCTTAATCGCGCGGATGGAGCCGCAGCTGGCTTCCCTCCTGCTCTCACGGTGCATCTCACGGCGGATCGCTTACGTCGCCCGCACCACGCCGCTTTCGGCCCTGCCAGTCGAGGAGTGGTCAGACTGGGGTAAAAAGCTGTTTGAGACGTTGCTGACTGCCTGCGGCATTCGCCACCCACGGGGGGAGGCCGAGATTTCACGTACCTGGGCGCAAGCGTCACTCCCCATCTCGCTCGGTGGTTTGGGACTCACAGACCCTTCGGTGGAGGGTCGTGTTGGGTTCCTTGCAAGCTACACGCAAGCGCAGCACCTGCTCACCTCCATTGATGAGTCGGCCGTCGGCGCCTTGGCGGAAACGCGGATCCAGATGGTGGGGCCCTTCATCAACACGTCCCCGCTCTTTGACTGGTTGGAGAGGTGTGAGGAGTCACTGCCGGACGATGGGAAGGAGCTGCTGCAGAGCGATCGGGCTAATCCCAAGGGCGCCAAGCTGCAGCATGGGCTGGCAATCGCGGTACACGGACTGCGCTACGCGGAGCAGGTGCAGGCTACACGCATCATGCCACTCAACCCACTAAGCGGGCACACTCAGCGCATGCTTTCACTCTCAGGGTATGGGGCAGGAGACTGGCTCAACGCGGTCCCCTTCAACTCGACACTGCGGCTTGCCCCGGCTCACTTTGCGCATGCGCTGCAGTTCAGGATGGGGTTACCCTCCTCGGCACCTGGCGCGTGTGACTGCCGCAATAAGACGGCAATCCTTGACAGGCGCCTGCCCAACCACCTGCTGCGCTGCGACACGGGGAAGGGGCGGACCAACACGCACAATGAGTTGCGCGATGCGTGTGTACACATGGCCGCCGACGCTGACTTCATGACTCACAGCGAAACGACTACGTTCTGCCCCGTCACTCTGAAGAAAGCCGACATTGCGATCCGGGACAAGTCCTCAGGAGCGGTGTGGATAGGGGACGTGACCATCACGGACCCCATCAGCACACGGGATCCCAACGCGGTCAAGGGCAGGGGATGGGCGGCCAGGGAGGCGGCGGAGAAGAAGATCTCCGACTACGAGGGCTCAACGGCCTCGTGGGTCGGGTTCTTCCCCCTTGCCGTTGATACCTATGGCTGTCCTTGCGCGGAGGTCCCTCAATTCCTCAAACTTCTGGCCGACACCGGCGCGCGCCGGCTCTTCAACGCGGCCCCCTCATCTTACCAGGCAACAAAGCTGCTGCACCAGTTCCGCCAGCGGTGGTCCGTGGCGCTGCAGCGGGCGCAGTCAGTGAGCTTCATGACGAAGTGCAACTACGCGGCTCAGGTGGAGAACCCACCTGTGGCGCTGCCGGGCGAAGGAATGTCCCTCGGGGACTGCCTTGCCATCCTGGAGCCGGCATTGGAGCTGCCTTAGAGGGTGAAGGAGGGTAGGTAGGATGTGGGGGTTTTAGAAGCTGAGATGCATTGCTTCTTATATCCTTGTGCATGTCTGTACCTTGCTCGGATCTAATACACGGACCGCTTGAGAGAGAGAGAGAGAGAGAGAGAGAGAGAGAGAGAGAGAGAGAGAGAGAGAGAGAGAGAGAGAGAGAGAGAGAGAGAGAGAGAGAGAGGATTAGCCTCAACCTCCCCAGCCCCGCCACGCGCCAGACTCCACAGGCATCCTGGCAAGGGCTGAGGGATTGGCCAAACGAGGAAACCTGGCGAAATCACTCCAATCCCTAACAGCCACGCCAGTCTCCTCCCCATCCACGGACGTGCTCCAAGCCCTCTCAGCTAGACACCCCCCTGCGCGCCAAGCCATCCCTGACTGGGTACGGGAGTTCACCACAGACACAACCCCTACAATCCACCCACGCGTCTTCAGGCGCATCCTCGCCAAGTGCCCGAATGGAGTGGGCGCTGGCCCCTCAGGCACCACCTTTGAACACCTGAGGGACGCTGCCTTAGGAAACACAGACATCTTCCTACAGTTGCACGCACTTACGAACACTGCGCTGGCCGGGAAACTTAGCACAAAAGCAGCAGAACTCCTCACAGCATCACGCTTACTCGCATTCGCCAAGCCACATGGGGGTACACGGCCGATTGCGGTGGGCGAGTGCCTGCTACGGCTGGTCGCCAAAGCGGCACTATTCTTGGCGGCCGAGAAAGCACGTGAACACTTCGCTCCGCTCCAATTCGGCGTGGCGATAGCTGGCGGCATTGAAGCAGCAGTGCATACCGCCAGAACGTACCTGGAGGAGAATACAGGGGCAGTGGCGCTGCAGATCGACCTAGCGAATGCCTTTAACGCGGTCGAGCGAGCGGCGGTGTTCGAAGGCCTGAAGGGGACCACCCTGGAGTTCATGGTGCCCCTGGTGCGGCTGAGCTATGGCTCCCCCTCGGCACTACACCTCGACCACGCGTTTCACACTCCCCCCCTACAGTCCGCGCGCGGCGTTCGCCAAGGGGATCCACTGGGGCCCCTTCTCTTCGCTGCCAGCGTCCACCCCTGCCTGGCAGCAACGGCGGAGGCGCACCCAGGAGTCGTCATCCTCGCGTACGCGGATGACATTACACTCTTGGGGGAAGCAGCGGCGTGCACGCGGGCGTTCACTCACCTCACCAGCGCCCTGCTCTCCCTGGGGCTGGAGCACAACCCTGAGAAATGCGCGGCGTGGTCGGCCGCTCACGTTGACCCCGCTTCCCTGCCCCAGCACGTCCCCTTCTCGGCTGACGGGATCCGCGTCCTGGGGAGCCCAATCGGACCACAGTCAGGATGCGCGGCGATGGTACAGGAGCGCCTGTCAGCAGCAGCAGAGCCCCTACCGCTCCTGTCTCAAATGGACCCGCAGCTGTGCCTGCTCCTTCTCACACGGTGCGTGAGCCGCCGTGCCTCCTACCTCGTTCGAACGACGCCGCTAGACGTGCTGCCAGAGGATACTTGGTCGGCGTGGGGGGAACAGCTGCTGCACACTTACCTGTCAGCTGCACACACGGCGATACCAAGGGAAGAGGAGGAGCGGGGGAGAATCTGGCGGCAAGCAGCCCTGCCCGTGACACTGGGCGGCCTCGGCATCACCAACCCAGCCACGGAAGGGGCGTTCGCGTACCTGGCCTTGGTCATCTCCAGTGCCCATCTGCTGCACTCATTCGGCGACACGGTGCACCCCGCCATCGCCCGTATGCTGCCACTGATGGATGCAGACGCAGACTCACCTTCGGCCCTGCCACGGCGCCTGGCAGCGGCAGAGGCCGCGCTGCCCCCAGACGGACTAGAGGCGCTTCAGGCCGGCCGGCGCACCCCTGATGGTCCGAAGCTACAGCAGGCCTTGTCGCTGGCAGTCCATACCGCCCGTTACATTGAGCTACTCGACGCCTCTCGGGAAATGCCCTTGAACCCTCTCTTTGGCCACACTCAGCGCCTGCAGTCTCTCCTCGGCCCTGGGGCAGGAGATTGGCTGCTGGCCATCCCCCTGATCCCGGCTCTACGCCTAGGCCCCTCGCAACACTCCACTGCGGCCTCCTTCCGCCTAGGCCTCCCCCTTCCTGTCCCACGGCGTTGCGACTGCCGCTACCGCACGACCTTCCCTGACCACCGCCTTCCCAACCACCTCATGCGCTGTGAGAAAGGCGGGGGGAGGATTGCCACTCACCATGCCCTTCGTGATGAGTGTGCGAAGATCGCAGCAGAGGCAGGATACACGGTGCACACGGAATCTACAGTTTACTCTCCGGTCGAAAACCTCAAAGCGGATGTTTGCATCCGCCATCCCGACACCGGCGAGGTTCACATGTGCGACATCACCGTGACGGACCCGGTCTCCCACCAGGATGAGCTTGCGCGGAAGGCGCCTGGGTGGGCTGCAAGGATGCAAGCCGCCAGGAAAGAGGACAAGTACGCGCGGCGGAACGCGTGGGTAGGCTTCCACGCCATGGCGGTGGAGACGTACGGCTACCCGTCCCCGGGAGTGCACGCCTTCCTCCGCAGCTGCGCCGAGCTCGCGGGCAAGCGGCGGTTCAACGCTGCGCCGAAGTCGAGGGAGGTGGCCAGGCTCCTCACAGAGTACCGGCAGCGCTGGAGTGTGACTCTCCAGCGCGCCCAGGCCAACGCCCTTCGCGACAAGACCCACGAGGCCATTGCCGCGGATGAGCTTGGCCTGCAAGGCCCGTTTGGCAGCCTGGGGGAGGAGCAGCTGTACCAGCTGCTGGAAGACCCCACAAGCCAGTAGGGCCGTGGGGAGAGGGGATAGGGGAGGGAAGAGCAGTGGTACCTTGGTGTATTTGTTTGTTTGTTTGTTTGTTTGTTTGTTTGTTTGTTTGTTTGCTTGTGTGTTTGGTTGTTGGCTTGCTTGATTGCCGATTGATTGCTTAGACTAGCTTAGTACCAATGACTGTACCTTGATGCTATTAATACGAAGGACCGTTCGAGAGGGTTAGAGGGCACTAAGGGGGGGGGGGGGGGAGGGTCAGAGGGATGGGTTGATGGGTCGGAAGGTATAAGGGAACCACGAGTCAAATTGCATGTCTGTACCCCCTGCTGAATTAATACAAAGGACCATTTGAGAGAGAGGGAGAGAGAGAGAAGCCGTGTAGCAGATAGAAAGAAGAATAGAATAAAATAAACGAGGGAAAGGAGAAGGGCAGTCAGGGAGAAGAGGGAGGTGAGGTCAGATCAGAGAGCAGGCGACGCAGCGAGCCGATTCGCTTAAAGGGAGTGGGCGGTCAGGAGATTGTTAACCTCCCGCCCACTCTCTGTTAACAAGCTTCTCTGAGGTCAGAGAGCAGGCAATGCAGCAAGCCGATTCGTATGTTTTTTTAGAATTCTCAAAAAACATGAGGTGAGGTCAGAGAGCAGGCGACGCAGCGAGCCAATTCGCTTAAAGAGAAATATAAGAGAAGATTGTTAACAGAGAGTGGGCGGGAGGTTACAGGGAGAAGAGGGATGTGAGCTCAGAGAGCTGGCGAAGCAATTTGTGTTAAGAAAACTAAAAGAACAAAATGTACGGGAAAGGAGAAGGGCGGTCGCAGGGAGAGAAGGGAAGGGCAGTTACAAGGAGACGGGCAGTAACAGGGAAAAGGGCGGTTACACGGAGAAGAGGGAGGTGAGCTCTGAGAGCGGGAGAGGGAGCGAGCCTGTGAGCGAGTTGTGATGCAGGAACCTGCAGAGATAGATGAAGGGACAGAGAGGGGTACAGAGGGGTGCAGCTTGGTTTAAGGCGCCTCACAACTCGTTTCGTCTCAGAGCGAGTTGTTGTGATAGAGGAGCCTGCATGCTAGTTTCTGTTTTTTCAGGTGCCTCAAAATTCACCTTTATCCACACAGATTTCATACAGAGAGAGTTGCGATGGAGGAACCTGCATGCAAGTTTCTGATCTGTAATCAATACTGGCCATACATCATGTTTTGGCCAGCTTTAGTCCTGATTTCACTTCAGGTTAGGTTCAATCTGGGTTTGTTTCCTAAACTGAACATGCCCTCTAGGTTCAGCTGGGCTCTCAACCCAACCAGCTCTGTCGCCTTGTACTCTTCGCCTAACCAATATATCCTCTTTGCCCTCCATCTCAAGGTATGTTTTTTGAAAATTAAAAAAAAAAAAACATACTCAGCTGGGCTTTCAGCCCAACCAACTCTATCGCCTTGTAATCTTCACCTAATTAAAATATCTTCTTCGCCCTCCATTGCTCCTAACTTTTGAGGCGCGCCTCAAAAAGTCGCCTTGTACTCTTCACTTCACCTAACTAATATATCCTGCTCGCCCTCCATCTCTCCTTATGTTTTTTTGAGAATTCTCAGAAAACATACGCTCTGTCACCTTGTACACTTCACCTAACTAATCTATCTTCTTCGCCCTCCATCTCTCTCTCCTAACTTTTGAGGCGCGCCTCAAAAAGTCGCCTTGTACTCTTCACTTCACCTAACTAATATATCCTGCTCGCCCTCCATCTCTCCTTACCAACACGAATGCTTACATAATGGCTAGAGAGCCGAGGGAGGAGAGGGCAGAGGGTATCGATCCAGTGAGTGTGTTGTTGGCCAGGCCTCTGCAGGAGAGCAGAGGAGAGCAAGGGAGAGAGAGAAGGACGATCTGTTTTTGAGGCGCCTCAAAACAGAGGAGAGCAAGGGAGAGAGAGAAGGACGATCTGTTTTTGAGGCGCCTCAAAACAGAGGAGAGCAAGGGAGAGAGAGAAGGACGATCTGTTTTTGAGGCGCCTCAAAACAGAGGAGAGCAAGGGAGAGAGAGAAGGACGATCTGCTTTTGAGGCGCCTCAAAACAGAGGAGAGCAAGGGAGAGAGAGAAGGACGATCTGTTTTTGAGGCGCCTCAAAACCGAGGAGAGCAAGGGAGAGAGAGAAGGACGATCTGTTTTTGAGGCGCCTCAAAACAGAGGAGAGCAAGGGAGAGAGAGAAGGACGATCTGTTTTTGAGGCGCCTCAAAACAGAGGAGAGCAAGGGAGAGAGAGAAGGACGATCTGTTTTTGAGGCGCCTCAAAACAGAGGAGAGCAAGGGAGAGAGAGAAGGATGATCTGTTTTTGAGGCGCCTCAAAACAGAGGAGAGCAAGGGAGAGAGAGAGACGACGATCTGTTTTTGAGGCGCCTCAAAACAGAGGAGAGCAAGGGAGAGAGAGAAGGACGATCTGTTTTTGAGGCGCCTCAAAACAGAGGAGAGCAAGGGAGAGAGAGAAGGACGATCTGTTTTTGGGGCGCCTCAAAACAGAGGAGAGCAAGGGAGAGAGAGAAGGACGATCTGTTTTTGAGGCGCCTCAAAACAGAGGAGAGCAAGGGAGAGAGAGAAGGACGATCTGTTTTTGAGGCGCCTCAAAACAGAGGAGAGCAAGGGAGAGAGAGAAGGACGATCTGTGGGTAAACAAGTGATTCCCCCGTAATCTCTGTCAGGCTGTTAGGCTGCTTGGTTGTTAGGCTGTCAGTGGCCCGGTGGGGTAACTGACAGGGGGAGGTGGTAACTTACAGGGGGAGGTGGTGGTAACTGACAGAGGGAGGTGGTAACTGACAGGAGGAGGCGATAACTGACATGGGGAGGTGGTGGTAACTGACAGGGGGGGGGGGGAGTAACTGACTGGGAGAGGTGGCAACTGACTGGGGGAGGTGGTAACTGACAGGTACTGTAATGCAGCGAGAGAGGAGAGGCCCGCAGGCAAAGAGCCTGAGAGCTTGTTGTTTGATGCACTCCTGGGAAGGGGGGAGAGGGGGGAGGTATGGGGGAGGGAGGCGGAAAGGGATATGGAAAGGGTGGGTGGGTGGGAGGCGAGGCGAGGCCTGCAGTCTAGGAGCCTGAGAGCTTGTTGTGAGACGCACGCCTGGGATGGAGGAGGTGGGTGGGTGGGGGGTAAGCGAGAAGGAAGGAGGCGGAAAGGGATGTGGAAAGGGTGGGTGACAGGCAACGCATATTGGAGTGACTTTTGAGAATTCTCAAAAGGAGGCGGAAAGTGATGTGGAAAGGGTGGGTGACAGGCAAGGCCGGGACTGCAAGCAAGGAGCCTGAGGGCTTTTTGTTGGAGGCACTCCTGGGAAGGGGAAGAGGGGGAGAGGGGAAGCCAGCTTTTGTCAAGAAGCCAGCTTTTGTCAAGAAGCCAGCTTTTGTTCTCGTTTACATTCCAGGGTTCTTTAAACAAGAACGCACAGTAGACGAGAGGAGCAAAGGGGGAGACTGGAGCCCATACAGACGCTGTCAGGTTTGAAGGTTTTTAGGGCTTAGGGTCTTGACGAAACGCACGAGACTCACAGGTAGATGAGAGAGGCAAAGGAGGAGATTGTAGCTGGTACAGATCCTGTGAGGGTTTAAGCTTTTAGGGCTTAGGGCTTGGAAACAAGAAGTCATGTCACGAGACTCACAGGTAGATGAGAGAGGCAAAGGAGGAGATTGTAGCTGGTACAGATCCTGTGAGGGTTTAAGCTTTTAGGGCTTAGGGCTTGGAAACAAGAAGTCATGTCACGAGACTCACAGGTAGATGAGAGAGGCAAAGGAGGAGATTGTAGCTGGTACAGATCCTGTGAGGGTTTAAGCTTTTAGGGCTTAGGGCTTGGAAACAAGAAGTCATGTCACGAGACTCACAGGTAGATGAGAGAGGCAAAGGAGGAGATTGTAGCTGGTACAGATCCTGTGAGGGCATTCTTGTCGATGAAGCTGCACGGACGCAAGGGAAGGTGCAGAAGAGAAGGTACCGAGCGGAGCAAGACTTGAGAGACCAGGAACCAAGTAGCAAGTATCCACTATGCTGACTAGGTACAGATCCTGTGAGGGCATTTCTGTCGATGAAGCTGCAGGGAAGCAAGGGAAAGTGCAGAAGAGAAGAGAAGAGACGAGAAGAGAAGAGAAGAGAAGAGAAGAGAAGAGAAGAGAAGAGAAGAGAAGAGACGAGAAGAGAAGAGAAGAGAAGAGAAGAGAAGAGAAGAGAAGAGAAGAGAAGAGAAGAGAAGAGAAGAGAAGAGAAGAGACGAGAAGAGAAGAGAAGAGAAGAGAAGAGAAGAGAAGAGAAGAGAAGAGAAGAGAAGAGAAGAGAAGAGAAGAGAAGAGACGAGAAGAGACGAGAAGAGACGAGAAGAGACGAGAAGAGACGAGAAGAGAAGGTACGAAACAGAACGACACGTAAAAGAGCAGGAACAAAGAAAAGAAAGAAGTACCTACTCTGGTGCCTAGGTTGACACCCAGAGAACAGAGGGAGAACACCCAATCTCTGGAGCGAATCCAGTGTTACAGTAAGATAGCTAAGGTGGGTTGTTTCGCGCACTCACAGGAAGCGGAGGTTTGTGAGGGTCTTGAGCTGCGATGGAATGGCTCCTGTGAGCGTGTTGTTGCTCAAATAGCTGTGGGATGGGGTGGGATGCAGTGGAGTGGGGTGGGATGGGTTGGGATGGGTTATCATGAGTCACGAATAGAGCTGTGCTGGAATGGCTCCTGTGAGCGTGTTGTTGCTCAAATAGCTGTGGGATGGGGTGGGATGCAGTGGAGTGGGGTGGGATGGGTTGGGATGGGTTATCATGAGTCACAGATTGAGCTGTGCTGGAATGGCTCCTGTGAGCGTGCTGTTGCTCAAATAGCTGGCGGGAGTTTGGGACGGGGTGGAGTGGGTGGGGTGGGATGGGGTGGAGTGTGGTATCAGGAAATGCAAATGGGAGCTGTTGCTGTGAGTGAGTTGTTGCTTCAATAAATGGCGGGGAAGGTAGGGTGGGGTTGGGTGGGATGGGGTGGAGTAGGGTGGGATGGGGTGGAGCACGGTGGGATGGGGTGGAATGGGTATGGGCGGGATGGGGTGGAGTAGGGTGGGATGGGGTGGAGCACGGTGGGATGGGGTGGAATGGGTATGGGCGGGATGGGGTATCATGGGACGCGGGTGGAGTTGGGTTGGATGGCTCCTGCGAGTGTGCTGTTGCTCAAATAGCTGACGGGAGGGTGGGATGAGGTGGGATGCAGTGGGGTGGGGTGGGTTGGGATAGGGTTGGGTTGGGTGTGGTTGGTAAGTGTGGGAATTGTGCCGAATGAAGTCACTTCTGAGACTTTTCATACAACAGAGTGACCCAGACGTACAAATAACCGAGCGACTCACAGCCCGTCCCGGTTGGTGAGCGTGCTGAGCTGAGAGGGGATCGTGCCCATTTAGGTCGCTATCGGTACTTGCTTGCTATATGGGAGTGAGTGACTCAGAATCTCAGATAGTGACTTGAGAAGTCGAAGCGACTCACAGCCCGTCCAGGTTGGTGAGCGTGCTGAGCTGAGAGAGGGGTGAATGAGTTTAAGAAAGACTCAAACAAATCTAGACGCAATCAAAACACAGGAGTGACTCAACAGGAGTGACTCACAGCCCGTCCAGGTTGGTGAGGGCGCTGAGCTGAGAGGGGATCGTGCCGGAGAGCTTGTTGTTCCGGATATCCCTGGGTTGATTTGAGTAGATGAGGTGAGGGGGTGAGTGGATGGGCGGATGCATTTCTGAGGAGCCTCAAAAAGAGTGCTGAGCTGAGAGGGGATTGTGCCGGTGAGCTTGTTGTTCCGGAGGTACCTGGTTTGAGGCGGTGAGGCGATGGGGAGGATGGATGAGTGGTGGATGAGTGAATGGGTGGATGGGTGGATGGATGAGTGGTGGATGAGTGAATGGGTGGATGGGAGGATGGATGAGTGGTGGATGGGAGGATGAGTGGATGGGTGAATGGGTGGATGGGTGGATGGGAGGATGGGTGGATGGGTGGATGGGAGGATGGATGAGTGAATGGGTGGATGGGTGGATGGGAGGATGGGTGGATGGGTGGATAGGAGGATGGGTGGATGGGTGGATGGGAGGATGGGTGGATGGGAGGATGGGTGGATGGGTGGATGGGAGGATGGGTGGACGGGTGGATGGGTGATGGATTAGTGAATGCATGGATGGGTAGATGGGTGGATGCGTGGATAGATGGATGGGTGGTGGTGGAGGGATAGATGGGTGGATGGGTGGATGGGAGGATGAGTGGATGGGTGGATGGGAGGATGAGTGGATGGGTGGATGGGAGGATGGGTGGATGGGTGGATGGGTGATGGATTAGTGAATGCATGGAGGGGTAGATAGGTGGATGCTTGGATAGATGGATGGGTGGTGGAGGGATAGAGGGGTGGCCTTGAGTGCAGAGAGAGAAGGGAAATCTTGCCCTGCGGACGGAACTTGCCATATTATTTTGAGACTGCTCTCAAGCACAGCGACCCATGGAATCATGGTGATCCTGAATCTTACTTTTGAGTCTGTTCTCACTCATTCACAGTGACCCATGGAGAAACGGAGTCCCTGAAGCTTACAGCGTTTGCATGGCCTTGAGCGCGGAGAGAGACGGGGGAATCGCTCCTGTGAGCAGAACTTGCTATATATTCTTCTGTTAACACTGTTCTCACTCACTCACAGTGACCCAGGGAAAACCGGTCTGTGAGCGCCTGCATCTTACAGCGTTTGCATGGCCTTGAGCGCAGAGAGAGACGGGGGAATCGCTCCTGTGAGCAGGTTGTCTTTCAGGTTACTGCAGCGGTGCAGCGCAAGGTGGTGCACGGAGGGTGAGCTTAAGGGGGAATCGAGGATGGAGGTCAAGACTAAAGGATGCGGAGAGGGAAGATTATTGAGGGTGGTACAAAAGTGGCAGTGAGGCAGAAAGGAGGTTGAGAGAAGCTGAGGGGGTGGAGGGAGGGGGAGTCTGGGGCGTTTGGGAAAAAAAAAAATATCACGTAACAGAATAGTACATGCACGAATAGATGAAAGATTCAAATTGTAGTTCTCAGCGCAGCTCCACGTAATAGCAGAATCTAAAAGAGTCCAGTGGCAAAAATAAACCAAGGGCAACGGCCAACTTAAGAGCCAGGAACAGAAGCAAAAGCGAAGGGCAGACATTAAAGCCAAGCAGCTGGGCAGGTGTGGAGCGTACAGCTGGGTTAGTGCCACGAGTCTTGAGAGGCCAGCGGGAATTGATCCCGTGAGTTTATTAATGTCTAGCCGGCTGGACGGGGAGAGGGGAGGGGTGAAGGGAAGGGGAGGACAGGAAAGGATTTGAGAAGTCTTTAAGTGATTCTGTGCAGCAATATTGTTTTCGAAAGTGATTCTGTAGGGTGAGTCCATACAGTGCAAAGACCTTTCAGTCGATTCTATCACACCACCTCTGTACACTGTAGAACATATGTATGAGCACGACTACAATATCACATCGTCAACTCACAGCGTACGCACAGCCGCACAGGGCAGTGAGGTTAGTCCGTGCAGGGCAAAGAACTTTCAGTCGACTCTATCACACCACCTCTTTACATTGTAGAACATATGTATAAGCACGTCTTCAATACCACCTCTTCAACTCACAACGTACGCACAGGACAGTGAGGTTAGTCAGTGCAGAGAGTGCCTTGTGAGTCGACTTAGGTTAAGTTAGTCAGTGCGATACCTTTGGATTTTGAGGCGCCCCAAAACTCCAGCTCACCGTTTCGAGAATTGTAACGTACGCACAGGACAGTTAGGTTAGTCAGTGCAGAGAATGCCAATGGAATTGGCCCTGACATTGAATTGTTGATCATTTTTCTGCAATCGATTCGAAAAAAAAAAAGCAAGGGACAGGAGAAGAAAAGGAGAGGAGAGAAAAAATATGAGAGATCGTGGTGCAGGAAATAAAATAAATTGTTTCACCACGCATGCATGTATTTCATAGCTACTGCCACGTCTCGCATCTAATGCCACGTCACACATTCAATGCCACGTCACACATTCAATGCCACATCACACATTCAATGCCACATCACACATCCAATGCCACGTCAATGCCACGTCACAAATCCAGTGCCACGTCACAAATCCAATGCCATGTCACACATCCAATGCCACGTCACACATCCAATGCCACGTCACAAATCCAATGCAATGTCACACATCTAATGCCACGTCACCCGTGCGCACACGTCTTTGAGCTTTGGCAGAGCAGTGATCATGGTGGGGAAGGGCCCTGAAATGCCGCTTCTGCTCATGGACCTGAGAAGCACGAAGGACGGACAGAGGATGCAAAGCGCGGGGGGTTGGGGGATGGACAGAAGTACAGAGATACAGAGGAATATTGAAGAGCAGTAATCATTGAGGTGGTTTTTGAGGCGCCTCAAAAACCACCTCAGGGCAAGGGTCCAGAGATGCCGCTTCTGCTCATAGATCTGAGAAGCACGAGGGTGAAATGGACAGAAGCACAGGGAAATAGGAAATCGAGTGGAAACACAGGTATACAGGGGAATGTTGAAGGCCAGAAACCATTGTGGGGAAGGGCCCAGAAATACCGCTTCTGCTCATCTCAAAGGTTTTGCTCGGTTCAAACCAGAACCAGCTCTTGATTCTCAGGCAGGGTCTGTACCACAGCACAGCACAGCTCCTCGTTTCAGTATTGTCTTTGGAGCTAATACGTACATACAGCCACGGGCAAACGCGCATTCTTGAGGCGCCTAAAAAATTGCCTCAACACGTGGACCTGTACACCACAGCACAATCATGCCTCATGTCTGTAACAGTTTTGGAGTTGATACGTGCAGCCCTGTGCAGACGCATTCTCTTCGAGTGAAAGTGAGGTGACTTTTGAGTCGACTCAAAAGTCACTTTGTAACAGTTTTGGAGTTGATACGTGCAGCCCTGTGCGGACGCATTCCCTTCGAGTGAAAGTGAGGCTTACAGAAAAGTCATTTTCGTGAGCCTTGAGAACTCCGTTGGTAGACTGAGATTGCCAGTGGTGGTGCTGAAGAGCAGTCAGGCAGGGGGGGAAGGCCGGGGGATAGCTCGTTAGCCTTGGGAACCCTGATGGTAGAGGTGTGAGATTGCCGATGGTGGTGACGCAAAGCAGTCAGGGGAGGGGGGGAAGGGGGGACGATAGTAGGCGGACGTCTTAAAACTCTGTTGTTAGAGGTGTGAGATTGCCAGTGGTGGTGCTGCAAAGCGGTGGAGGGAGGATGGCTCGTGGCATGGCTTTTCCAGAAGATATGATTTTTTAGGCGCCTCACAAATATTTCAGGCGCCTCAGAGATGCTAAGAATAATCATAAGCTCTGGCCTTTCAAAGCATGGCTTTTCCAGAAGATAGAATGAAGCACTGCAGCACTCCACTCGTCTCACATAGCCGCACTCTACTCGTCTCACATAGCCGATAGGAAGGTGAGGTTGCCGATGGCAGCAGGAAGAGGACCCAACGCATTGTACAGGTACCTGGCGGTGGTGGCAAGGAGATGGGGGGGTGAAGGGTGGGGGGGATGGGGAAGGGATTGAAAGGGAGAGGCAGAGATGTTACAAGTGAGGAACTTTTGAGACGTCTCAAAAGGAGAGGCAGAGATGTTACAAGTGAGGAACAGCTCCTGGCGCGTTGTACAGGTACGTACCTGGAGGTGCCAAGGAGATGGGGGGGGGGGGGGGGGGGAGGAAGGAGAGGGGGCACACACACGAAGAGGCCCACACACACAGACTCCAAACAAGCCCTCACTCACTCACTCACGCTGATCACCAGGTCTGCGTCACAATGCAATCGCCTCGTCCTCGACTAAGGCGTTTCCTTATAGTGGGGGTTAGCAGCAGCACCACTCACGCACATGGCAATCATTAGTTGACTATCGTCCCTTTGCTAAAGGCGACCTTGCCTACTGCTGCCCTTCTTCATGAGCACAGATCCGCAGCACCACTCACGCACATGGCAATCACGTTGCCGTTGTCATTGCTAGCAGTTGACCCGAAACCATCTCACCCAGTCTCATGCTGATCACGATTTGCAGCACCACTCACTCACTCACTCACCCACTCACTCACGCACATGACAATCACATTGCCGTTGTCGTTGCCGCCGTTGACCCCAAACAAGAGCAATCACAATCTCACACGCTCTCACACACTCTCGCCAATCACCTATCTGCGACCAATGTTCACCCTGACTCATGTTTCGAAGGGCTGCAGTAGTAGAGAGGACGCTTAAAGCTCGCGGCCCAAATTGTACAACTTTACTAAAGTTGCATGTTGGGAGGTGAGGGAGCAGGGTTGGCTAGTCGAGGTGTTGGGTGGGTTGAGGGCTTTGGTTTCGCCCAACTTCTCGCCAATCTCAAACACATTTCGCTGACTCAGTAGACCCCAGGGGCCACTTCGCGTTTGGTTGCATGAGTCCCATATTGCACAAATACTATCCTTGCCAGTTTCCCACCCAACCCCCTCCGCAAACACTGTTTCAATTTTGCTAGCCAATCAGCTCAGTGTTTCAAATTGACTAGCCAATCAACTTCCTTCGTACAACCCGTAACCTCAATTCGCAAAACCAGCACCTGCAAAACAACTATCAATCAACCTTACTAAGGTTGCCCAGCGCGGCCCGCAATTTGGGCCGCGAGCTTTAAGCAAAGGAACAAACAGTAAAAACTGGTGAAAAAAACGCAGATGTTTTTTTAGGCGCCTCAAAAGTCCTCTCACACACTCTCGCCAAGCACCTATCTGCGACCAATGTAATCCCCTCCTCACCCACACCTTTTCTTTGCACCAATCACTCACGCACATGACAATCATGTTGCGGCTGGGTTAGACAAAAGTAAGAGCACCACTCACTGACTCACTCACTCACTCACTCACTCACTGACTCACTCACTGACTCACTCACTCACTCACGCACGCACATGACAATCACGTTGCCGTTGTCGTTGCAGTTCACCCCAAACAGGAACGAGCAGTCGTCATTGGCCGTCCAGTACGCCTTGGGGCTGCGACTGGGAGTCACGAAGTTCATTCCGTCCCTGATAGCAAGGAGCGCGTTCCCTGGGAGAGGAAAGGGTACAGGCGAGGGGAGGGGCGGGAAAGAGAGGCCAGTGGTAAGCGAGGAGCTGGGGCGAGAGCAGAGCAGTCGTCATTGGCCGTCCAGTACGCCTTGGGGCTGCGACTGGGAATCACGAGATCTATTCCGTCCCTTATATGGCAAGGAGGGCGTTCCCTGAGATTGGGAGACACATGCAGGGCCGCAGGGGAGGGGTGTAAGGGAGACCAGTAGTTAATGAGAAGCGCAGGCAGAGCAGTCGTTGTTGGCCGTCCAGAACGCCTT